AATTTCCTTGTTTTAAATTTGGGGGTTGAACAGAGAGCCTGGTTTTGGCTGCTGCCCAAATGGCTCATTGTGCAACTCGGTTGAAGGAGACTGCTCATATACAAAGAGCTTATTCTTGGCTTAACTAGAATATAATTTTTGCCACTAAAATGACCAACCTAGGGACTTAGTCAGTGAATAAAAGTGATTCGTGGTCCTCCACAACTGGGATTATTAACTGTGTCAGTTAGGAGCACTGGCAAAATGTATATAGAGGAGAACAGCATTGAACAGTTAATTTTTAAATCACTGCCTCAGCACAGTGGTAATATACATTACAATCCCTGAGAATGAGCAAAAGGAAATTTGCATTTATTATCTTCTTTTTCAACATTTTATACACCATGAGAAGTGCTAAGAAAAAAAAACCTTTGTGCAATATTCTTCTCATCTCTTGACTAGTTCAGCAGTGGGTAAAATAATCACATATTGCAAGAGGAATCCACACATGATTTTCTTTCATCACTTGGACTTTTGCTTAACGCTTGAGAAAAATGGGCTCAGTCGAGTGGTAGGATCGCTGGTCAAGAGATGAGGCCCCAAGAGTGGGGCTCTCTCTCTCTAACCAAGCACCAGTTCATAGGGCTGCCTTTCCCCATCTTTACATCCTGGTATTTAGGTCCCTTTGGCCTGTGGCGCTACTTGCTGTACTGAATGAGAAACAAAACATGAAATAAAGTGTGTCTGGCTACATCTGAAGTGTCACTGTATACTATTTTACGTATACAGCAGTTACAGACTTTTAATTCCAGGCTGTAGAAGTTAAACATCTGCTTGAACAGGAACTGTATTTTTGTTTTGTTTTTATCCTTTCAGTCTTGTAAAGTAATAAGCCTGGGGAACAGGATGTTTTAGTGCTGTGCTGGTCATTTCAGTAGGATATAAAGGTCAGTAAGAAGACTGATATGTTGGTTCTCTGTGGGATGACGTAGAACAAGAAGAGGGTGGAAATTAGCTGCATGTTAATTATAGCTTCCAGCTCATTTGCCCAGCTTTTTACAAGTGAAAAGGAAGAAAAAAAACACTTCATGATTCAGAAGGAAAATTGTAATAGCAGTGAAATGCAGATGAGTCAGTATTTATTTAATAATTACTGGAATTCAAGGAAAAGAATGATTCACAAATACAACAAGCCCTTAGACAACAGAAGAATTCTGATACTTGAGAATGGGGCAGTTATTTCTATTTATACTCTTCTGTATGAAAATATTTTTGAATGGTCTTTTTATTTGAAGTTACTATAACATATCAGTGGTTAAAAGCATTTGCTTTTCTAGATTCAGATGGTAGATACCTTGGGTCAAACTGAACCCTCTACGGAAAAGTAATCAAAGGTACACCAGAGAAGAGTTTGGCCCTCTATGTTTACTACAGACTGCCCTGCTTCCACTTACAGTAGTATGAGTCAAGGGGGTGGTAGAGCAATAACATACTTAAATAAAATGTGTGATTGCAATTCAAATGCTGACTAACCACTAACTGTATGTTCATGTTTCGCAAGATATGAAGTGTACAAGACCGACTTATCTGACATAAAGCCAGACTATTTTGCTCATAACATCCATAACTGATGTAATTTAAACATTTCTGTGAGAGCATATTTAAGAAAATGGGAAGCAGTATACGAGTGTTACTCATGCAAGCCTGTTTCAAGAGATTCTTTGAACATAGTTATTGATAGGTTTTTCTTACATAACATATGCAAGATGTAATTGAAATTAAATTAAATGTCAGCATGACACCATTAAACCGCTAACATTTGCCATCTTTTAAGACAACTACTCCAAGCAATAACTTTTCAATCAGGAATTTACTCACTTTTTTTTTTTTTTTTTTGGATATTTTAGACAAATAAAGGTGATGCCCTTGCAAACCGTGTCCAGAACACGCTGGGAAACTACGATGAGATGAAGGACTTGTTAACCAACCATTCCAACCAGAGCCACCTTGTAGGAATTCCAAAGAATTCTGTCCCACAGACTCCCATTGATAAAAATGAGCAGAACTTTTTCCCAGAACAAAGAAACAGGATGATCCCATCTCATCAGCTCAGTGGCCACTCGTCCACATCGATGCCTCCCCCCTCTTCATTGTCATCTAATGCTACTTTGCTACACAGTCACCAGAGCAGCAGGAAGTCCAGGACAGACTGGTCTCGTGGTGGTCACAACTCTAATGGGGCCCAGCCAAGCCAGTCCAGCAGTCAACAGAATAGGACAAAGCATAGCTCTTCTCACGACCAGCCACAGGGCAGATATGAAGACCTCTATAGTTGTCAGAGTGAGCAGCATAAAAGTGGAGGAGCGGAGGAAGCAAATTCTATGGCAACATCTTCACATTCGAGGAGGCACACTCATTCAAAGTCAACAACTGGAGAACATTCTTACAAAGAAAACAGTCATTCAAAGTCACCAACAGAGCTTGAGTTTGCAGGTCATGGTCCTGGATCTCCAATTCCTTCTACATCTTTGTTATCTGCAAACAATGGTCTTTCAACCCAGAATTTCCCACCAGGACTTCACTGTAAAACTAGCATGGTCCAGCAAAAGCCTACAGCTTATGTCAGGCCTATGGACGGTCAGGACCAGGTCCCCAATGACTCACCTGAACTCAAGCCTCCAATAGAAATTGAGAGTGGATATGGAAATCAGTCCTTTGGAACACTGTTGGAAGGAAAAGTGAGCACACCTAGTTCGAAGAATAAAGTACCAAAGCTTAACATTCCTCCTGTTAGTGAAGTAAGTAGATTAAAGTATCTTCTTTCTAGTACCTCTTGAGTATTTCATGTAGCGAATATTTTCCCCTGCAAATATACAGTTCTGTTTCCTGGAATTATGATCTAAAACATTCTTTTTTTTCTTTCTTTCTTTTTATTTTTTTTATCTCCTAGAATATGCACGATTAAATTTACTTTTGGCAAAGTTTTGCGATAGTCCCAGTAAGCAACATTAATTTAAATTTTAAATTCACAGTTTGGAATACTAACATTTATTGTTTCCCATTAATATTAACAGGTTAAATCTCTGTTGGATGTAATACATTTATACTAGCTAGAATTCTGGATACAGAACTCTAACATCACAGTTCATCTGCAGTTTTCAGTTTTTCAAATACAATTAGGAGCTAGTTTGATATAAAGCATGCTGTTTAAACTTTTTAAGGAAAAATGGAAATGCCCAAATGTCAGTGGTATAAAACAGTTCGACCAGTAACAGGTTTAATTGCAGAATTTGGTGAATTCCCATTGCTTTAATGGAATTAATGTGGCTTCAGTTCTGAGTAATGCTTATGAAAAGGTGTCCCATTAAAGCTTTTATGCATTTTGAAGAGCTCCTAATTTTGGGATCCAGTCCCAATCTCTGCTACTAACAATTTAAGCTGTTGAATTTTGTATTGCTGGTCAGTACAGTAGTCCTGTGAGGAATATTTTATTTGGTTCATATTCTTGTCCACTGCAAACACAGATGTATTATATGGGTACCAGTTGAACTATTTATACTCTGCATACTTTTTCTTCTATTCTGAGTTTCTCTAAAGCAGTAACCGTTGCAAGGTAGGCTTACAGTGTGCATATGAGCAGAATTGCAATATGGGTTTTTCATAACTTTCTGTTTTCCCAAAAATATTTCCCTGCCTGGTAATATTTTTATACTAGGAATGAGGAGTGATGCATTCTTAAACCACTTTATTGCAAAAGGTCAGCTTTTTCTATTGGAATAATTGTTTCGAGCCAATAATTTGTTTGACTATTTAAAAAATTGATGTTATTTATTAACATTCCAGGCAGCAACAAAGACTGATGTGTTTTGCAGTAGGGCTTGGAATAATTTTCTGGGAACTGCATCTGAAAACAGTAAAAGGCCTATTTATATCAAGTGGAAGCTGAGGGTTGCTTGCAGATGGTGTTTTATTAGAAAATGTATTTGTTAATAAACGTAGCTTTGTACAAGATTACTTTACAGATGTTTCTGTTTATTTTTACCTTAGGTTAAAAATCTGCTGATGTAGATGGCTTCATAGTCTGTTGCGATTTGTCGCTAGCATTGTTTGGCAAGTAAATAATTGCATGCAAAGGAAATAATGATGCTGCAAAAGCAAATACATTTATTCACTTTTGCCATCTATTAACACAATGAGTCAATAGACGCACTTAAAGTGCAGCATTAATATGAAGCATTTTTATAACAGAATGTGCCTTTTACAACTTGTGTCAACTGTTAAAAGTGCTTTTCTCTCCTTCTCTTGTGCTCTCCTTCACGTGCGTGCTCTCGCGCTCTCCTTCTCTCTCCGGTAAAATCCTGGCACTGTTGAAGTCAACAGAGCTCTTAGTACTGATTTTTGGGGGCAAGATTTTACCCACAAGCTTTTTGTGTAGCTTTAAGAACCTCTGATGTGAACTGTTGTTTTTGGACAGGTTCCTAGTCAAACGGATGAAAAATTACATTGTGAATTTATGACTATAGCTGCTTTAGCTTATATCCTGTGTAGTGAAAAGTATAGGTGTATAATTAATTTCACTTATGATCAGATAAATGATAAACTCTAGTCACTTTAGCAATGACTGCAGATAATAATCTTAAAATAGTCTCTGTGTTACAAAAATGAATATTGTTTCGGAGAGGGAAAGAAAACCCAAAGCTGTATTGAGGTGAAGAATAACTTTCCAATGTGATGTAGAGTGTGTGGCAAGGGCCAGACTGATGAATTTTTTTTTTTACAGGCAAATCTCCCCCTGATTTTGGGGGTTGGATTTTTTTTGCCTGTGTCAGGACCGTGAACTTTGGCCCTCTGTGTTTTTCCACAGATGTGTATCCTGAATTTGATTTACCCTGCGTTCAGCAATAAAACTCCTTCCAATCCAACATTATAGATAACTGGTTTAGTTTAAGCTTAATCAGAACTGACAGTGCACACCTGTGAAACCCATAACCTTTTCAGAATGACTGCAGTGAGTGGCTCTGTTGTAATCTTTATACAATTGATGTGGAGGCTTACGATCCTTTGGTGGTGCTTATCAATTTATGGACCTTCCCTAGCCACCTTCAGCTGTAGTGATCTGCTTGAAACGATTTTGCTCCTGCTCCATGAGTTTCTATCCTAACACTGTTCCAGGTGGTGGTGGTGGTGTTCTTCAAACTAGAAGTAGGAAAGTCGCTTTGGGGGGCATTTCTTTGTCGTTAGTTTGGTAGCTCCTGCACATCTCCGAGTCCATTTTTCAAGCTAAGTGTACGCATCAAGATTGCAAATAGAATTTTTTTCACTGAATTTTCTCAAAATTTTGCATGCTCTCAAGATGAGGAATTCCATGGAGAAATAAAATTTGTGGGTGAAGTTCATGGCATAATGGCCTCTATAAGATCTGCAAAGGTGGGAAAGCAAAAGACAATTTTCAATACCAAGGCGAGTGGGTGGGTGGGGAAATAAGTGACCAAATATTTGAACAGGCAGATTTAAAGGATGAGTTCAGACTGATGTGGAAATATTGTCCCATTTATCATGGCTTAATGGAATAGGATGTTGAGTGCCCTGGAAACATTCTACCATGTGTGAGGAAGTGATCAATTTTATAACATAATTTGTGTCACTTGAGGTGTTGCTCTAAGAATCTTTGCTTGTTGGTGGAGCCCAGTTCTGCCCTTGGAAATGCCCATCCATCTTCCAGCTCCTCTGCAACAGACAAGGTTGTTAATGCCTTGCTGCTGGCATGCCTCCACTCTGCAATGGATTGTGGTTTAGTGATTTCTGAGCTTGTATAGATTCATGGTAAGTTCACACAGACTTACCTAGCTGGGTCGAGATACAGTGGTGGCAGCAGTTATGCACCCCAGTAATAATCCTTGCCCCTCAGCGGATGCTGCTATATGATGCCTGGGTGTTGCCCGACCCGCACAGAGCTAGTTCAGAGCTGTCTGCAGTGCGCACCCATGTTCCTGGTCTAGAAATAGCCATGGCAGAGCCTCCTCAGGCTTAGCTATGACCTTTAAGGATTTCTCTGTGATTGCTTGATCCTTTAAATTTCTTTTTCCTTCCACTTCCTTTTACTTATTGGTACTGTTTTCTAATTGTCAACGTAAAAAATCTTAATGCATTGGTGCCTTGAGGTAAAATGCAATGTAAGCACTAGCACTCTGGCTTGCCAGCCTCTGAGATTTAGAGATTATGAAGCAGACCTTTCAAAACTGGGAGGCCGAAAGGCTATCATATGACTCTGGGGGGCTTGTAGAAATAAAACAGATATCACGACACAGAGTTGATAACAGTGGCCCTGGAGCTGAACCATAAAATTGTCAGAAAACCCCAAACCATAAACTTTATTTCCTGTTTCTTCCGTATTAACTCTTGGGTCTTTATTCTGTATTTAAATAAATACATATTTTTTGAGCTTGCATTTAACATTTGGTAAATAGTGCTAAGCCTGGGACATCACAGAAGAGCTTTTGAGTTGTATAGAATTCCACCTACTTAAATTATATGGTGGCATATGATTGTTACATACCTCTCAGAGAATTGCACAGTTAAATCCTATGCATTTCTTTGAAAAAATAGAGGTTAGAGACCACAATAACAGCTGATCCTCTCTCTGCTGCATTAAAATCCAGACTCTTGATGCACTTACGTATATTTAAACCTTTAGGAATCAGATGCTTACAGATTATTTAAAAATGACTAGCTCAGCAGGAGATAGCTGAAGGAAAGCGTGTACATTTCAGATTGGACTTGAACACATTACTGAGCGTACAGAGTAAAGCAAGGGGTTTTAAGGTCTGTGGGAACATCAGAAGATAACGTTCCTGGAAAACCTTATGCGCAGTTCCCCAGAACAATGCATGGATTTCCAATACGTGTTTAGGGACAGGAAATGAAGGGCAATTGAGATAATGTTTGATTTTCAAGTCAGAGTTTTTAGATCTCACTGCACAACTGGCCTCACTTTCCTGCAAAGTATCAAGTGATCATGTACCAAATTTTCCCCAAAATACAAAGCTAGGAATCAGTCCAAAAGGCCTACAAAAATCTGTGTCACCACCCACTTAAATAATAAAAAATGGAGAACTTCTATTTTCACTTTACTTCTAGGAAAATATTTTGACGTGTTCAGTACACTGCAAAGTGATAAGCTTCTGTTATGTGTTTCAAATCATTCTGTTATCGCTGCATGTATTGATTAGCTTCATACTTTCTGAGCTAGCTATAAAAAAGGCTGCTCTCTTTCTGCATTAAAGAGCAGGAAAAATTGACAGGTAGATAACCATATTGATTGAACCCAAACAGTAAATGCAAGAGGCTTATATATGACTTATAAAAGTCTTTATAGTAACTAAAGTCAGTTTCATATCTTTTTTTAATTAAATGGAGAGTAAATGTCTTTAATTAACTATCCCCACACCCTTTTGATATACATTCTACTCTAGTTGCCAACTATAGTTCATTACCATGGTTGTGGGCAAAGCACTTTTTCAAATGCAAGCTTTATCCCTCCCCCAGACTGTGGGCTCTCAAGAAGAATGGACTGAATCAAGCATTAAGCTGAAATCCCTTTGCTTGGTTCATATTTCAAAAGTCTGAGGCCAAAAACAAACCCAAAGAGCAGTATTTCTTGCAGTATTACAGGTTACAGCCATGTGTTTTTCATTTGTAAGTACTGTGAGAAGTAATGTTCTTGTGATACTTCTAAATGAAGACCATATGACACCACTCGACTGAAGACCTCTTATTGTGGGCCCTTCTAAGGCTACTG